CGTTTGTTTTTGTTATTATCTTTTTTATTACCTAATTCCTTTTAGTAAAAAACCATAATCAATATAATTCTGATTTAACAATCCATTAATATTAAACAAAATTAAAAATAAAAGTCCTTTCTGAAACCATAAATACGTTTATACAAAACAGTCTGATGTTAGAAACTCCACAGCTTTACCTAATGCCAATTTTAATTAGCATTATAAAATATATTGTTAAATACGACACATTTTTCTTATCATTAAAGCACATATTTCTGTAAAATGAGCGTAATTTCTCTCTTACTGAGTGTTTGCATTTAAACCCAATACTACTGTCAAAATAAACCATAAAATCAAAAGCTTGTTTTTGTTATTATCTTTCTTTATTATCTAATTATTTTTGTAATAAACTATAATCAATACAATTCTGATTTACACTGCATTAATCCTAAGGAAAATTAAAAATAAAAGTCCTTTCTGAAAACATTACATTTAAGTTATGCAAAATAATCTGACGTTATAAACTCCACAGCTTTACCTAATGCCACTTTTTAATAGCATTATTAAATATGACACATGTTTCTTGTCATTAAAGCACATATTTCTGTAAAATTAGTAATTTTTCTCTTACTGAGTGTTTGCAGTTTTCTGTCATCAGTGCTGTACAGAATTGAGCTCCTCTTCCGCAGCCTCACTGATTCATTTGAAGACTTGCTCTGTTTAAACCGCTCTCGAATCTTTTCCATGACTCAGCATGAACCTTTTAAAGTTCAGCATTTTAACTCAAAGACTGAATGTTAATTTTCTAGCGCGTTTGCGAACAGTTTTTGGGACTTAACAATAATTTCAAACCATCATTTCCGTGTTTGCATCGTGACGTCGCACTTGACCTCATGAATATGCAGTAAGGACACATATCTGGCGGGTTAATACTTAGTATATAGAATAGGTAATAATTTTATAATAATTGATATGTATTTTGTGATGTACATGAATAGATTTTGCTACATCTTAAGTTGAATACAACTCGAAAAAATAAAAACTGAAATTTACACGTCGCATTTGTCCTGCGTGAGTTGCCGTAGTCGTGCGTTTGTCCTTGTCTGCGTGTGTTGTGGTTTCTCTCTTGTTAGTCATTTTAACTAAAAAACACTAAAAACAAGTTTTATACGTCAAAGATTTTGATATATGCCTGTGGGATAAGCTTCAGGTGAGTTATCAACAACACACGCTAATATATTGGAGTGTGCATAAACGTGAAACTACACGTTTTGTATGCATGTTACAAAATACCACCGTAAATGGTGGGAATATTTTACTTCAAGCTCTAAACGAGCTCTGTTTAATATCCTGCATTAGTTTTGATTTCATTTTCATGTGGCTATATGTCTTATTTATTTGTTTTTAAATGTAATTCATATTTTCATTATTGTAAAAAGAAGTCATTTCTGTATGTTTTTACATATACATTGTAATTGCTTTGTTGTTATTGCAATACCAAAACAATCAAGCTTTAAACGAGTAGGTTAATATCAAGATCTTCTTTACAGACTAGTAAATATAGAATTTACAGGCTAAATATAGGTGTCTTTAAATATATATATATATATAAATGCGCAAAAAGTGCCAACTGAAATTTTCTTCTTATATTATCATATTTCCAGGTTCCTTTGTCTTGATTCAGTAATTTTACTGTTATGGCAAAGAATTTGAATGTTTTCATCACACACACACACACACACACACACACACACACAGTTAAAGTCTGATTTTCACAGTATGTCTGATAATATTTTTTCTCCTAGAGAAAGTCTTAATTGTTTCATTTCGGCTAGAATAAAAGCAGTTTTAATTTTTGAAACACCATTTTAAGGTCAATATTATTAGCCCCTTTAAGCAACCTTTTTTTTTCAATAGTCTACAGAACAAACCATCGTTATACAATAACTTGCTTAGAAATGTGTTGGGGAAAAAAAATCTTCTCTCCATAAACAGAAATAATAATAAAATAAACGGGGGGGCAGTGCTTTATAGTTTCCTGGGAGTCTAAAAGTAATCAGGTACATGCATTTTCTTTCGATTTTCTGTTAAACTTTCTTTAGGTTACAAACTTTTTAAATAGTTGTGTCCAAATGTTTAAAATTGGCTTGACATGCTTACATGGATTAAAGATATATTCAATTCAATTCAGCTTTATTTGTACAGCGCTTTTACAATGTAGATTGTGTCAAAGCAGCTTCACATAAATGGTCATAGTAACTGGAACAGTGTGGTTCAGGTTTTAGTGTTTAAGTTCAGTTCAGTTTAGCTCAGTTCAGTGTGATTTAATCATTACTGAGAGTTCAAACACTGAAGAGCAAATTCATCGATGCGTAGCTCTACCAATCCTGAACCATGCGAGGCAGTGGCGGCAGCGGAGAGGGAAAAAAAACTTCACCTGATGGGAGTGAAGAAAAAAAACCTTGAGAGAACCAGACTCAGTTGGGCACGACCATTTTAATTTCTCCGCTGGCCAAAAGTCTTGTGCAGAGCTTCATTCGCCGTGGTTTAGGCTGGAAGATGGCCTCAGCGAAGACTCGTCTGTCCCTGGAGCGTCGCTGGAATCAGACTCATGCTCTCCACTCCCCATGACCATCAGCGCAGCAGCAGCTCAGGATATGGCCTGGTCCCGGATATGGAATCCTTGGGATCATCTCGTTGCTGGTCTTGGATCCAATCAGTGACTCCGCATAATCTGAGGACCTCGGGATGAGTATCCCCAGGTGAAAATAGAGAATAAAGAGAATAATTAGCGTAGCTGCTGTTCATAGTGTATATAAGCAAGATGCAGAAGCCAGTGTGGAACCCGTTAGGTGATGCATTGAGTGTATGCTTTACTAAACAGATAGGTCTTTAATCTAGTTTTGAACTGGGAGAGTGTGTCTGAGCCTCGGACATTACCAGGAAGGCTATTCCAGAGTGTAGGAGCCATGAAAGAGAAGGCTCGACCTCCTTTACTTGATTTTGCTATTCTAGGTACTACCAGAAGCCCTGAGTTTTGAGATCTTAAAGAGCGAGTTGGTTTGTAGCGAGACAGAAGGTTGGTTAGATAAACAGGAGCTAGATTATTTAGAGCTTTATAGGTGAGAAGTAATATTTTAAATTCAATACGAAACTTAACAGGCAGCCAGTGTAGGGAGGATAAAATTGTGGTTATATGATCATATTTTCTAGAGCTGGTCAGAACTCTGGCTGCTGCATTTTGTACTAATTGAAGTTTGTTAATAGAGGATGCTGGGCAGCCAGCAAATAGAGCATTACAGTAATCCAGTCTCGAAGTCATAAAAGCATGGACTAGCTTTTCTATATGTAAATAATAATATTTTGGGTACATTTGTAGAGTTACTACAAAGTGTAACAATAAACCAAGTTATTTTTTCTTTTTTTTTTATGTTGCTCTATAGCATTTACTAGACTACAATCCTGACTTTACATTTCAGATGCTGTGATGTATCTCTTGCAAATGCTCACATACTGATGCTGAAATGATATATAGTGCAGCCCTTATAGAAGGATCTTAACATAATTATTAATTTGTTTGGTTTTTGTTTATTTTTCTGATGGAGAATAGGATGTCAAATGTTTGCATAACTGTCATTGGCTGTATAATCTATAGTAATATCAAAGATCATAGAATCACCAAGAGGCGACACTCTAGTGCAATATGGGAAACTGCCAACAGATGGCGCGGCGGCCATTTTGGAATAAACACTCCAATAGAACAACAGCATATTATAAGCCTGTAAAATAAACTATTAAAAGTGCAGATAATCGTCATATTAAGTGCTGTTTTGTCGTCTTTCAAGTTGTATCCTAGCTTTAATGTGCTTTTTAAATAAATAAATAAATAAATAAATACTTTATATTTAAATAAATACTTTATATTTACTTTATATTTATATTTCAAGTTGTATCCTAGCTTTAATGCGCTTTTTAAATAAATAAATAAATAAATAAACAAAAAACAAAGCAGCTGCCTGCCATCGTAACAGCAGTAAGATCCAATGGACAGCTGATTGTTTTCACTCCAAAATGGCGGAATCCGGGGCTGTTCCTGGGCGCTGCTGTTGCAATGGAACGCTCTATTGAGTGTCGCCTCTCGGTCATTCTAAGCTCTTTGGTAATATGCAAACTGAAAAAATGTCTTGTTTTTAAAAAAACAACCCATAAACAGCAGCAAATAAGTGACCCTTTGTTTCTCCTCAGGAGTCTGGTGTTTTGTGTCTTCATGGATTGTGGCTCTACATAAGCTCAGAGGATGTTGGGCAGGCGGATTCCCTTTAATCAGATAGCGTTTGCGACTCTGGTTGGAGTGGTGGGAGGTGTGTATATTTACAGACCCATGTTTGAACCTCTCAGAAAACCTGCCGCTGAAGAACTCAAGCCTGATCCGGAAGAGATGAGAACTGCAGGACAACATCAGGACACTGGAGCTCCAGAAACACAGACACATAGAGACTGAATGAGACTCAATGCTGCAGGGTTTCTATTGCTGTTTTCTTTGTAATGATGTCTCTAGAAGGTTTTGAGTGAAAATGCATCATTGGCAATGCAAATAAATAAATAAATGCTATATATTTATATTCTATGAATTCATTTTCTAGCTCTCACTTTGAGTGCAAAAGCTGCCTTGGTATTTTTTTCAGAACTAGCAAGATGTCTTTATTTTAAAATAAAATAAAATATATATATATTATTCAAGTTATATTTATGTTGTAAGAAAAAAAAGGTTATAAAAATTATAAAATGACAATAATAAAAAGTTTTACTTCTTCCATTAAAAGCTAATTCCATTAATAAATAGTGTTACTAAGATAAAATGGCTAAAATACTAATAAATGATTATTTTAAATAATAATAGAAGGACAGAATAATTGCAGAATAATAAAATAATACAAAAGAAAATGTAAAATCTGCTGTTAAGAGATTCTAAATGTTTATAAATATTTTTTCATTTATTTTAAGTCAACAATTTCATTTGAATCTATTTATAATAAGTGATAAAAGTAATAAAGTAAAAAGGATTCATGTTAAAAATAAATACGGGATATGTTTATAATTAAATTGTTTGAAATTATAAAATATATAAATGGGGAGCACTTTCACCTCACAGCAAGAAGGTCGCTGGTTCGAGCCCCGGCTAGGTCAGTTGGCATTCTTATGTGGAGTTTGCATGTTCTCTCCGTGTTCGTGTGGGTTTCCTCCAGGTGCTCCAGTTTCCTCCACAGTCCAAACACATAAGTTGGCGGTTTGTTCTGCTGTGGTGACCTCTGATTAATAAAGGGACAAAGCCGAAAAGGAAATGACTGAATAATTATAAAGAATACGTTATATAATTGTAAAATAACTCAAGGTGTTAAAGCGCTGAAAGGTGTTTCTCTTAAAAATGAAAAATAAAATAGATTTTTTACTAACATAACATAATATATATATATATATATATATATGTCATATGTGTTCAATAAAATTATTAATAATATGTTAAATACAAATATTTTACATCCAAATTAATAGAGAAGATAAACAAACAGTGTAAACTTCTAACGGTTTTTATAGTCCTTTAACATTAAACACCTGCAGGTGTCAGTAGAAAGAGTTCGAGAGCCTTTTGCACAATCTGTACACAGTTTAAACATTATTTCAAAAGCAACTGACAAATAAATAAATAAAGTTAGTAAACCAAACTCAAGTTTTTTGTGGTGTCTAAGTAGGAGATACCGACCCGAACCCATCCTACTATGGTGAAGGATGTCTGCTCTCCGATATTCCTTTCTGATTGGTTGAAAGGCTGACTTCATATTAATATTAAATAAGTTTCCTGATCTGTGTTTTCTAGTATTATGTTTTAAACAATTTTATTTACAATATATTAATTCATTCATTTTCTTTTCGGCTTAGTCCCTTTATTAATCAGGGGTTGTCACAGCAAATGACTTATCCAGCATATGTTTTATGCAGTGGATGCCCTTTCAGCTGCAACCCGTCACTGGGAAACATCCATACACACTCATTCACACACATACACTACGGACAATTTAGCCTTCTCAATTCCTCTACAGGGCATGTGTTTGGACTGTGGGGGGAAACCGGAGCACCTGGAGGAAACCCACACAGGCATAGGGAGAACATGCAAACTCCACACAGAAATGCCAACTGACCGAGCCAAGGCTCGAACTAGCAACCTTCTTGCTGTGAGGGGATCGTGCTACCCACTGCACCATATATACAAGTACAATTTGAAGTATTTGTAGAGCAGATTTAACAAAAATAAAAACAATGAAAAATTAAAATAAGTGTAACTATCAAAATAAAGTAGTGGAAAAAGAAGCATGAGGTTTTCGTAAACATCATTTTGCAAAATAATAAAAAAAAATTAGATAAGCGCATTGTTTTATGCAGAGTCTATTTCAAATAAGAAATCAGCATAAGAGGGGGAAAATTTTATTTGTGGCTAAAAAATTGCCAAAATTATGTATAAAAATGATAAATATTATAAATGTTTACTTACTTTCCTGATCGGTGGTCGCTGGTAAGGTCTAGAAGGGATTCATCAGTGGATATTCACATCAATATAGCATTATTTTTGTAAAACTGTACAACAATAATGAATATATTTTTTTACATTATGTGAGGGGTAGTTTTTGTTCAGGATATACATTATTACAATACAATTTAATGGGTAATTTATTAAATAATATGAACAATACTTGGTATAATTACTGTTTTTACATTACTGTGATGGTAGCTTTTGGGTTGGGGTGGGGTTAAGCTTTAATAAAATGCTATTTAATTGATAATTTAATAAATAATGTGAATAAAACTCATTTTAATTACTGTTTTTACATTAATGTGATGGTTGGGTTTATGTGTGGGGTAGGGGTAGACTTTAATAAAATACAATTGGCAATTTAATAAATAACATGAACAAATACTATCGATATAAATACTGCTTTCACATTACTATGATGGTTGGGTTTAGGGATGGGGAGGGGGTAGACTTTAATAAAATACAATTATTGTGTAATTTAATAAATAATATAAACAATTCTCGTAAAAATTCTCGCCGCAGCTGTATCCCTTCTAGCAACAACCATATTTTTAAAAATGTTATATACATATATATATATATATATATATATATATATATATATATATATATATATATATATATATATATATATATATATATATATAGATCTAAGAAGGGTCTTAAAGGATCTCCATAGATATTGAAGATCTCCAGCCGACGTCAACACTAGCTAATTAATATTCATGAGCTGAGCCGTTACCACGTAGTTTCAGCACGGGAAGTATTGCGTCACAGCTCGACCGCTCACAAACGCTCTGGGGTTTGATGTGGGTGTGGGAGCAACTTTAGGAAACAAAGTGTCCATCGCTTCAAAACTAGCTCACATCTGTTCCTGTTCTCGGTTTATTATTCTCGAAGAAGTTTTAAAAACTCCGAGGAGATCATCAGGCGTTCACGTCACTCTACGGGTAAGCGCACGTAACGTTATTAGTACATTTTTTGATGTCGTTGGAGTGTGATGATAACAGTTTGGTAACGCTTTTTCAACTTGTTTATTTCATGAAATCTCACATTTTAGTACTTTTTATAACGTATTGCACTCAACAAACGCAAAATCTATACTGATGGTTAACTTTACGCATCCTACGTTGACTTTATATACGTTGTTTCTAGTTGTGCTAGTCATTATAATGTGTGTTTAGCGATAGACAGCTGTTGTTCATCCGTAACGTTAAACACGTGGCTCTATCCTGGATCATATCTAGTCATATCAAATGTGATTATCACATCTAGTCACATCCAATATGATTATAGTCAAAGAGGAAGACATTTGCAGGGAATTACCCTGCCTCACTTGGGGAAATAAACTGCTTCACTCCCATATCAGGTTACCTGTTAGGAATGTATGCTTTAGGGATAATTTCCCTTTGGAATGATCACTTTCCATACTTTCTTGATAAACTCATGAAATATTGTAGTGTATTGTGAAAAACTGGTATTTGTTTAATCTTTGGATTGATTGTCTATTTTCAGATCTCGAATGGGCTAATAATTTTGACACCTAATGTGAAAACAGATTAAGTTTTGAGACTTTAGAGGAGCAATTCTGTGCAAACGTAAACCTTGCCATGAAAAAAATTACGTTTTTTACTAAAATACAGAAACTGTTGTAGGGTTTTTTGGGTGAGCAAGTATTTTACAGGACTTTAGAAATACTCAACAATGCATCTGTCAATGTTTTCAAACTATTCTATTTGATTTTCCAAAGTCACACAAGTGGCAATTTCACATCCATCACGTCCATAACAGAGAGATGTCACATCCATAACGACACTTTTTCCTCATAAATGTGAAAATATTCAATAAAATAAACCCAATCGTTGTTGTTTTACAGAGAGCTGACTCTTATCCTTTTGATTATTATTGTTTCTTTTGGATTGTGCAGTTTAATTCACAGAATTTCTACAAAGTATGTGGTAGACTGTAAACCCGCAGACTTTTTTGTCACATCCATAACGCATGTTTATTTTCCTCATTTGAAGTACAAAACATGTCTACAGATTGATATTTTTCTGGTCCCTTAACTCTGTGGTCAGTTGTTCTGGAAAATATAAACTGATGTTTTAATATAATGTTAACATATACTTTCTATGTGAATTTATGTTTTGGGTTTTTACTGCAAATGTCACATCCATAACGCTGGAATTACTAAAAAAAAAATATATATATATATATATATTTATATTTATATATATATATATATATATATATATATATATATATATATATATATATATATATATATATATATATATATATGTAATTTATTATTTATTTATTTATTTATGTATTTATAACTCCTAAAAAATTAATGTTTTGTCAATTTAATTATTTAATTTTCTTGCATCTCTCTTCAAACATGTCAACAGTGGTGTTTGGTTAAAATGAAAGCTACTAAAGGGTTCCAGAAGAACTGTTTTTGGTTCCTAAAAGAACCAAACAGTGTTCAGTACCTAAAATAACATTAAATCAAAGAAAAATTCCAATCATTTTATTTAATTATGAAGCTGTTTATAATACCAATTTAAATAAAATGACTAAATGTTGACTGGAAATTCGATTCACTTTGTTTATGCCTTTTAATAAAATTTCTATCCAATTTATTTCACTTAAGAAGAACGGAGATGCATCAAATATTTTGACTGCCACATCAACAGATGGATTAAAGAAAGATCTAGCTGTTTCCTTGCAGGTTCTGCAGTTTAGGTTTTTAAAATTAAACCAGTTCTTCATTAGACTTGTTTGCCTTTTGTTGTCAGTCATATGCAACTCTTTCTCTCATCTGTTGAACACAAAGGAAGATATTCTGAAGAATGTTGGGAAAAAACAGCAATTGACTTCCACAGTATTTACATTTCTGCTATTAAAGTCGATGCCTACATTTCCCAGCATTCTTCAGAATATCTTCCTTTGTATTCAACAGAAGAAAGAAACTCACTTTAGAAAACAAGTAAATAATGAGGAACTTTTCAGTATTTTTTTTTTTGGCATGTACTGTTCCTTTAAATGAGCATTGGCTTGTGTCTTAAGCAGGGTCTTGGCAGTGCTGCAAATCGAGGGTCACATGACTGGATGCCAAGAGCACATGAGCACCAGCTGATGCTTATTAGATGAGCCTGATGTTAAATCTCACAGTCCACATCCTTCTGAAGCCCCTAAAAGAGCCTTTATAAGAGCCCTCAATGGAGCCGAGTGTCTGTTTACATTTGCCATGGCTAAAATCACTTTATAGCTAATTTAATATGCATGTTTTCCGACACATTTTTTAGACTGTAATTCAACTTCAGACAGCTTCAAGATTAAATTAAATCATATTATGATTACTTATACTCATGCAAACAGCTGTGCAATATGACTTTGAGATACATATATATAGTTGAAGTCAGAATTATTAGCCCCCCTTTGAATATATATTTTCGTTTTTTAAATATTTCACAAATGATGTTTAACAGAGCAAGGACATTTTCACAGTGATTATTATAATATTTTTTCTTCTGGAGAAAGTCTTATTTGCTTTATTTCTGCTAGCAGTTTTAATTTTTAATGAACCATTTTAAGGTCAATATTATTAGCCCCTTTAAGCAATTTTTTTTCGATAATCTACAGATCAAACCATCATTGTACAATAACTTGCCTAATTACCCTAACCTGCCCGTATTGAAAAATATCTAGTAAAAATTTATTTACTGTCATCATGGCAAAGATGAAATTAATCGGTTATTAGAAATGAGTAATTGAAACTATTATGTTTAGAAATGTGTTGAACGAATCTTCTCTCCGTTAAACAGAAATTGGGAAAAAAACAAAAACAAACGGGGGCTAATAATTTACGAGTGGCGATAACTCTGACTTCAACTGTATATATATATATATATATATATATATATATATATATATATATATATATATATATATATATATATATATATATATATCAGGGTTCAATGCTAAGGATTTTTTTCTACTGGTCCGATCGGGCGGGTGGTTTAGATTTTTACTTGCCCTGCCAAAATTTTCACTGGCCCCAGCAAAAAAATAAAAAATAAGGGAAGTTAATAGCTATTTTTTAGCCACATATTTTAAATAATGTGTCAAAAATAAAGTCTATGAATCTAGAATTTCAATACTTGAAAAAAAATTGTACATAAAAGTGTTATGCAAACAAAAAGAGCAGTATGGAAAATGTGCCGGAATTTAATTGCGGCTTGAAAATGTTTAACAAAAGGTGGCTGACTTGTCAAACTGACGGCAAACCGTGCAAAACACCACTTCATTTTTATTTTGTGGTGTTGTTCCCACGTAAATGTCTTCTTCCAAGACGTTAGAAACAGACATTTTCTTTTAGCCTAATAATTTGATGTTGCCGTTTCTTCGCTGTACTGGTTGTACCAGGTTACAAAAAAACAAAAAAAAAAAACAAAAAAAAAAACAGCATGCTCATGTAACCCCGCCGGTCCTATACCACACAACCACCTGCTCAGAGCTAGTATCGAACCGGCGACCTTCCACATAGGAGTCGGTCGCTCTAACAAGGAGGCTAAAGACCATGACCTCTAGCATCTGTCACTAGAGCACCATTAGAAGTCAGAGGAGTGAGGTTTAACTGCACAACACCTACTAGCTGGCCTCCGTTACACTCAATCAGAAAAGAGGAACTGCAAACCAATATGGTGTTTACGACATCACAGAGAAGGTAGTGTTTAAAGGCTTAAAAGCACAAACTTAAAATGCACGCAGCTGACAAATAGTCACAGACAAATTAAACATAAGTGACAAGGCAGCACTGTCCCAATCGGGCCAGTAATGATCCCGTCTACTGTCCCAAGTGTCTCTCATGCAGGCCCTTGGCCACCGGGCAGTCCTTATTGTTGAACCCTGTGTGTATATATATATATATATATATATATATATATATATATATATATATATATATATATATATATATATATATATACATATATACACATACACACACACACAAATATATATATATACTCTGTGATTGCGATATAAATTCAATTTCACCAAATGACCTAAATAGCTCTATTTGGTATTTGGAAAGTCATTAATTTAGATTGATTGGGATGGTTTAGTAGTATATATTTTTATGTAATTATTCATATACACATATAATAAACAAACTATAGTCATAAATAAACACAGTGGAGCAAATATTAAAGTAAAATAAACAGTTATGTGTTTTTTTTTTGTGGAGAGTCTTGTAGTATTCGGGTATAAAGAATATAAAATAGTATTGCGTATTCTTCATAACAATATTTTAATAAATTTAATCTTAATTAAACTTCTTAGCAGCTAAAATGCTTTTAAACTCTCTTAAAATACTTGCATATTCACAGGCCTTTAAAACACATGCAGATGATTAACTTTCACTTTATTATGGTTTAATTCTGCAGTGTTCAAACATATGTTGTGTTTTACTTGTGGTTTCTGATAATTTAATCCCAATCAAACATTGCATATCTTGCGACTATTGCGAATAAACACATTGTGATATCGATGCTGAAACGATGAATTGTGCAGCCCTAATTATATGGATAAAATAAATGTCTGTTGTATATATTTTGTGGTGTTAGAAAATCCCAACAGTCAACTGTTGAAGGTAATTACTTAATTTCATATCTCATTACTTCAACTTAAATGGAGTAAGTTCACTGTACTCGTATAGATTAGTTTATTAACTCGAATGGTTTGTTGCAATCAGTTTCCTCAAACGATTTGAGTTGACTTAACTTATTGGGTTTTACAGTACTCAGTTTGAGTTTTCTTCATTTATTGGGTTTTACTGTGCTCAAATTGCTTCATTTACTCAAACGGATTAAGCTCACAGTACTCATTAGGATTAGTTTTTGAACTTAAATGGTTTGTTGCAATTGGTTTTCTCAAATAG